GTGATCAAAAACAGGAGGAAGAGCTCGACTGGCCAATCAGGATGACCAGCGGAATTCTTTCTGCTGAACTATACCGCATCGTTGTGACTAAGCCAGACTTAGGTCAGAAATGAAAATTCGGTGTATTCAAGTCAATCTTCATCCCCATACTCACCTACGATCATAAAGTAAATCATAAGTCGGTAGCCATGATTGAAAAACTATGATGTAGGATAAGAGCGGCTGAAACGATGTTTCTGAAACTATTCACAGTACTGGCGCGTCTCGACATGGTACGAAATTCAGATATTCGAGAGACAGAGAGTTGGTCCATAGTTGCTGCTTTCTCAAGACTGAGAAGTCAAAGCTGCGATGGCTTGGCCATGTGTTGCAAAAACTTTTAAAAAGGAAGGCTAAACAGCTACTAATCGCTCAACCGACCGGCCGAACACCACGGAAACAACAAACAAATAACCGGAAATACGTATATTGAAGAACAGTGATCTAGACTTGAGTTTTCTGTTGTAGCTCAAAAGCTGGCACAGAACCACTCATATATGAACCGTCTATGGCAGCGTCTTCTTTACATTTAGGCAACGTTCACTGCCACGGCAAGGGCCATCTCGTTCTCGCAACTGAATCTGTTAAGTTCGATCAACGGAATTCAAGTCCTATCCCCAAGTTTCGCATCGTACTTCACCTTAAAACAGATCTGTTGTCAATGAGAAAGATGTTCGGCATGCACTTCTTTTATTCTTCAGTCTCATCAGTGCCAACAATTCGACTGTCGCTGAGTTCTTCTGATAGTTCTTCCAGAATGCGATTGACAACAGACCTGGATCGGTAGGTAGAGTTGGTCTTTCGATTATTCACGTTAGAACAGAACGTGCGAATGCAAGGGAGGAGAAAACTTTTTAGAAACTTAATACCGCTGAGAAAGGCATTCATACCACTTAGTTTTAGTGCAACCAGCTAGGAAACGCCACCTACGACATTACGCACAAACTCGTGTTCTAGCACAATTACACCAAAGTTCGCAAAGCGCTGATGCGCCCTAATCCATCAGAATAAAATTAACCCGTAAACATAACAAAATATCAGTTATGACAATACTTTAGAAAAAAGCATTAGAATATTTATAAATTAACTTCTATGAAATCAATCAATTTTGATACGTCTTCATCGAACATCGTAAATATTTGGAGGGAGAAGAAATCAACCAGTGACAGAACAACGCTATATGTTGCACATGCTTTATTTCCATACATATCAAACTTACCTCGAACAGTTTAGCCAATCTTCTTCGTTTTGACAGGGGCACAAACTCGTCCAACGAGGGAACAGACGCACAAACTATAACATTCAGAAGTAGATGATTACTTTTTATTAAAAGCTTACAATAAAACTCATTAATTTAAAATACAACAAATATGTGACTTAACATAAAATCGATTTTTAAACTGACTCAAGCACTGCACTGGAGAAAGCGCAAGAGTCTTACAGAAAACTACGTTGGAGTAAAGCAAGCAAGGGAGATTAAATTAAATAAATAAAAAGAGCAAGTCTGCTAAAACTGGGATATCGCTTTCCTTCAAGCTTCCGCAATTGGGCGCAATTTGTGGCATTCTTTTTATTCGGTTTATGGTGCGATGGTTATCTTCGTTTAGGTGACTTCCATCACTAAGAAGTGCCGTATTATTTCTTCTAAGGCTGTATGTACAGTTTGGTAGCCATTATAACATGTAAAATCCCGCTTCCTCAACAAGAGATGGTAATCACATCGACGTCTGATGGAAGACGACGAGTAGCCGGACCAGAACCCCCACCCAGAACCCAGCACCGTCCAGGTTATGATGTCAAACGTTCTACCAAAGAGTAACGCCCGTTAATCAGTAAAGTTATGTTAAAATACAGCGAAGTCTATCATCGCTTAAACGACGTTTAGTCACACGATGTTGACAGGCAGCTATCTAAGATTAAAAAACATTACTAGCTAGCTGTGACATAGATCACAGCTTACCGTGACCATCCACCTACAGCGAAATCAGCAACATGCTGGTCCAAAGCAGTTGCTATGAAAAAAACCTATAAAGTTTATCCAATGTACAATTGCAGCATTTATTAAAATTTCCATACACCTGTTCATCCTACGCCTAAGAGACAAAGACGGAAAGGCTCCCTTCTCAGATTTATGCATACCTTAACTACCGTCAACATTGACGAACTGTTCCTCTCGTTGACCTTACTCACTATTACCTTAATTTCCATACCACGTATACGCTGATACTTTACCCGCATATGTATAACCTGCATAATCAATACGCAGGTACTGCAGCTTTAGTGAATATTCAACTATTCATGTTCTTCTCCTACACATTTTTCACTGTTTCTCTTCTTCCTCTTCGCATTCATCGTTCTCATTCATGTTCCGCCTTCTGCTTTCATTTCTTATTCTGTTTATCCTTGTTATTATTCTTTCGGCGATCCAAATTAAAAGTCGAGGTTACAGCTGCGAGTATAACTGGACGATTCGGGTGGATACTGCAAGTCTATTTTGAAGTGATTCCTCTGATTTCGCGGTAAGTAGGACGAAAGTAGAAAAGATTGTTTAACTGCAAAATGGCATTGGTTATCATCAAGGAATTTCTGAAGTGCACTAACCTGTAATTCTAAAATTCCAGAGAGGTAATCCGTCCACACCGATATGAACTGAAAATGATCTGTAGCTAATTCCAAGAAGGTAATATAACGGTTTACTGGATTATTACAAAGCTTATTCCTATGCTGAAGCTAGGCATTGTTTTTCTGACTGGCAAATTCATAGGGTCACTTTGATCTAAGCTGAAACAGGCAGTAATGCGGTAAAAACTACAAACTACCGGCATGGACTAGAAAGCAAATGATTTTCAGTTCATATCGGTATGGACTAATTGCCACCCAGGACAATTATTACTATTTCAAACCTATTTCGAATTTAGGGCGTGTCATAAGCCCTACTATCTGACCTGATGGAATTGTGCTCATAAAATTCGGCATAATATGATGCACTAAACGTAAAAAATGTACTATTACGTAGCAATGTATGCTAGAGTACGTGCATAACCTATCGTACCACACATTATACTGGCCATTAACCACACAATATGATACTTAAACGCATAAGAGTGTGGGAGAGTACAGCACACTACGCCTGGTTCCATCGATCCGCGACATACTTAAACAGCAAAAGCAAAGGTCATGTTCTGGCAGAGGATGAGGCACAACGTAGATGAACAAACGAATAACGCATGTCAGGAAAATTGTGATCGTGACTGTAACAGTTACGTAGCTGGCTGATGTTTCTTCGTCATCTACTGTCCATCTTTCGTCCATGTTGATTGGACTGCAAGATAAAGAAAAGACTTAATCCTCATGAGGGAATATTTGCAACCCATACTTCCTTTTGTTACACAGATTTGCTTGAAATACTCGTGATTAGCACTGTTTTGCCTATCAGTCAACAGTTTCGCCTTAAAAATTCTTGCTTATATTCTACTGCTGTCCAGACGGTTTGTATGTTCGAAAATGATTTCTTGAAGAGTAGCAGACAGCTAGCAAAATTAGGCATTTACTAAATGAATGCTACTATCAACAAACACCCTTTTTCAGCATACAAAAATAAAATCACAAGACAGAAGTAAATAAAATCATTTAGCATTACGATATATCAGAAAACAATGAAATAAACAAAGGGTATTGAAAATTCTGATGGAACCAAAATAATAAAACAAACATGTTATTGAACAGAGTAGATATTGTGATATCGCTTAAAGTTAGGTTGCAGTTAATTTATACTATTTTTCGAGAAAAAAACATATCATCATTGAAGAATATTACGGTTTTCGTAGGTAAGCCATCCAAATGCATTTTCTGCATTTCAAACTCAAGGACAGACCACATTGAGATTTTCAAAAAAAAACTTAAACACAAAAGCAACCTTAGAAAACGAAGCTGAAGTCTATGCATAACTTAAACTATTCAACATATAACTAAAGCAAGAGAGTATAGTATACCCAACTGCACAGTGAGAACAGATAACTACGGATTAGACCTACGGTAGTGAGAACACGGTAGTGCAACCTGAAGTATGAATGATGACGGTTAAAACCGTTCATTCGTCGTCAATTTTCAGAACAGAATCTTCAGGTCATTCCAACAATCGTGGTCGTCACTCTGTGAAGTACGCTTCATAAAGCAGATTCAAAAGAGAGACAAAGTTAAAGCTCAGCACAGTCGCTCAATCATGGTAAATGCTGTTTCGCCAATATGATTCACCTTATGAGTCCTGTCTCTGGCATTTTTATCACACGTCGAAATCATCAGGAAGGCTCAGAAGCAAAAGTATCCCAAATTGTATTGAAGTATTGGACCTCGTCAGGGTAACAAATCTTTCAAAAAATCTAATATCTGCATTTTCTCCTTTATACCGATTTGAAGCGGCGTAATGGCACCGTCGCCTTGCTTCTAGACGATTCGGGAGACCATTCAGGCAGGCCAAACTCCATGGTACCTGAACACCTGCAGTGCACGGATGCCAAACCCATCACTAGGCACGGCCGAACAAAGGTCCGTTCGTACATCTCTAGATATATAAGCTTCATAAAATCTTTGAATTTCTTAATCGTATAACCGCAAATAAAGAACTTTCTGAACAGAAAGCAATGAATGGCAGCCCAAAAATAAAGCGTATGTTTTTGAAAGCATACATTCACTTAGTCATTATGAAAAAAAAGCCGCATTACCTCTTCACCCTAAAAAAATAGTAAAATACATCATCTTCAGCCTTTATAGGGAACAAAGAGATTTCAAAGGGGAGGAACAGAACTTCAGTTCAACAGTTTGATTACCGCTGACCTTCCGACCCCAGTGAAGGTAGAAGATAATTGGAGTTGAATAGGGGCAGCGGTCATGTTTCTAGTGTTTTGATAGATTGACTGATCAACACTGAGAGTCAGAAAAACAATATCTGCTTGAAAAAAATCTTGCCATCTTCGCTTTCCTTGGTCACGCAACAAGCTCGTGCAGCCTGGAAATTGTTGCTCCGTCCGAACAATGATTGAAAATCTACACAATCGCAGGCTTTGATCACCAATGCAGAATACAGAAAACAACTAAGCAAGGAATCGTAAACTCTCTTCTATATACAATTATCATCAATAAATGCAAAGATAAAAAAAGGTTGTCCTTATCTAACGAATAACTGAACATAAGCATATTATAATAGCTGTAGGTTTACAGTAATATACTTAAAGCAGGAAATGTCATTATATCACAGAACCTACGCAAATTCTCCCCAGACGTTAGGATATGCGGAAAGAAGGGCAAGGCCTGATCAGCTTGAATACTTGGAGTCTCTGAGTTAATAGATAAATGATTTAAAACTCTTTGTTTTACTTATATAATCACTCTAAACTAACAAGTGTAATAGAAAAACTTTAAAAAAAAAAGCTAAATAGCAAACAGCTGCATTAGCGGAAGTGAGAAAATGCACGTCAGTAAACTACTGAGAAAAAATCCAATTGGACAAAACGGAAGATTTAGAAGCGATCATTGCAGAATACGAGACTTACGCAATTAATTTACCGCAATTACCTTTGTCAAGTTAATATGCAGATTAATAAGCCCTCGACCACTTTACTACTGGAGTCACAAATTTTGAAATTGGCCATCTGTTTTAATCATCCGTTTCGTTTATCATTCAACTGCCATCCAATTACTCCATGTTGTGCATAATCGCGACAACGGTAGGATGAAATGTTAGTCTAAAATTGGGAAACTACACAGTGCGATATTTGCAATTGGTAGTGTGACGGATCACAGTTATTGTATACTTTCTGATTATACATTAAATTACTTAAATAAATCCTGTAATTCTTTTCTTCTTTTTTCAAGTGCGTTCCCTTTAACAGAAGTAAACTGTTCAAGTCAACTGCCAATATTTGACCCTCTTTGGTTAAGTCTTCGATCGCTCTTCGTATTTTTATATAGTTCTTCATAATATGAGGCGACACCTTTACTCTGGCCTTTTTTCACTATCAGTATAAGTGTTTCGACTACATTTCCAATGTATCCAATGGGGCTTCTTTTTACCACCGGTTAAGATGAGCATCAGCGAAATTGGTGATACGCTCAAGCTGCCGCTTAAAAAATGT